AAGCTATAGTTAAAGCTATCGTTAACGCTCTGGTTAAAGCTATAGTTAAAGCTATAGTTAAAGCTATAGTTAAATCAATAGTTAACGCTCTGGTTACGGGTTAACGCACCGGTCCAATATAATGATCTCCTGCTTGAGTTGCAGGAATTCGGACTCGCTGACTAACACCAGGTCCCTCTCGGCCTCTATGGCAGCGATCTTCCTCCTCAGCTCTGTGTAATGCTGCAGGAATGTACCTGTCTGCATGTCACTCACGATCGCCTGCAGCTGCTCCACCTAGCGAGAAACAACAACACTAAATACAGGTGTGTGTTCTAGTTTGCACAATGTTCACCGCCTAGTTAGCTTCACGTCGAAGTAGAGGGAACACGCGCGCCACCTACCTGATTGTATAGGTACTAGAGGAAACGCGCGCGCCACCTACCTGACTGTATAGGTACTAGATGAAAAATCCGCGCCACCTACCGCGCTGTATAGGTACTCGAGAGAACACGCGCGCCACCTACCTGTGCGTGTAGGTACTCGAGAGAACACGCGCGCCACCTACCTGTGCGTGTAGGTACTTGATCTGTTTGAAGCGGTTGTCGGTAGAGCATACGCTGTCGCTAGGGCTGAGCACGGAGCACGTGCAGCGACCGTCACTGCCGACGTCCGACGCCACGACGCCGTAGCTGTCCTCGAACGACGGAGGCGATAACCCCGCCACCTGGTGGATGACAGAGGTAAATACGTCGTCACTGTGCTAGAGTGTAGCCCAGCTAACAAAGTTATGTTCCTTGACTGTTATGGGAATGTTTCTTTTAGGTTAGCAGAACATTATTCAGTAAACGTGTCTAAATAAGTGTTTTAGGACACGTTTTCCGACATTCTGAGCAACACGTTTTTTAACAAATGTTAGGCGAGTTAACATTTTCAGCACTACTTTCAGATAACGCATTGATCAACCTTCGCAACAGTGAGCACCTCATTAAGCGGCAGCCCACACTACGTGCATGGCTAGCAGCCGTATCTTAATGTTCTCGAGGCTCAGCGGCGTATGGCAGTTCCCACACACCTGCGACGACTCAGTACAAACAGCTGGCGTCATCCTTAACCCCTATCTATTCCCAACCCGTAACCCTAAACACTAACTCTAAACCGACTCGATTATCTTATATAAGGCGTGTTACAGTTACCCAAATTAATTCTATGGCTGTTTATAACCTTTGGCCTTTCATATTTTGCATTTGAACTGACAATCAATCCCAACCAACTGGTGGTAGGCTAAGCTGGTACAATGAATGTACATTTTCATACTTCAAAATCGAGTGTTTTCTAGCTTATCACAAAATCTTAATCGTGAATAAAACGGTTATAATAATTTCCAGACGGCATTATTTTGTGGGAAAGCGACGCATGCGCAAATTGGACTGGCCGGTACCCCTAGCTCGAGACAATTAATCTCCCAACATAATCTCCCAAAAATTACCATATGAATACTGATGAAATCATAAACAAAATACATTTGATACCTGTGCTATAGTTTGCAAACATCACAAAAACGGCCAATTAGGAGGCTTTCGAACCCATCCAAGACAGTTACACGTTCTTTCGAACATTTCCAAGAACATACTCTCTCCCCAAGCTAAACCAATGAATGCCATAACGATATGGGAAGTTCTTAGAATATTTTTGGCTAATGTAACCATAACCTAGAACCTCCAGGCGAATTTACGAGCAAGCATTCCAAAGAACATAACTTCTACCAAAGTAAACCAATGAATGCATGAACGATATGGAATGTTCTGTAAGAATATTTTGGCTAATGTAATCCAAACTAATGAACCGTCCAGCGAATGTTACGAGAATGGTTCCGGCTTTGCTGGGGAGCGGTTAGAAGAGAAGTAGAGTGCCGCGCTGCCGGGTTGTTAATAACGTGTAGTAAGCGACAATAACGTGGCGTTATTTACGAGGCCAATAGCTAGAGGATAGAGCTGCACCAGGATGTAGCAATACGGTTACAGCTATACGCCAAGAGCAAGTTGGTAGCCTACGGGCTTAGGGCCCAGATGAGAGATGATGAGAAAGGACTAGAGATAGAGACGTAGAGAAGAGAGACAAAGAAAGAGAGAAAAGAGAGAAAGCCTGGCATACCGGCCGCTGCGATGAAAGAGAGCAAGATAGAGATAGTATATATAGAGAGAGAGA